GCTCATTTTCTTATGTCATGGTTCCATATGAAAAGCATTGCCAACTTGTTAGGCTTTGGCTGTTGGCATACGTGTGCGCACAGATGTGTCTGCCTGGATTCCAGCAGAGCATTCCTTGCCACTCGACAGCCTCTTCGTGTGCGTAGGGCTCAGAGGATGAGAACCTCCTGATGGAATACAGTCAGAAATGAGACAGGTTGCATAGATGGTCTTTGGCCAGGCAAACTTACCTGAACAAGCCTTGATAGTTTTGTTTTGGTTTGCTTTTTTTTTTTTTTTTTTCCCTTTGAAAGAACTTCTCATATGCGTGTACTATAGGATTTCCCATAAAGTTAATAATAAAGGCTACGCCTGCTCTGAAAACTTAAGTTTATAGTGGTATGCACTGTCAAAACCAGACTACTGAAATAACGAATGAAGTTCACTTCCTCAGAATGTGTAAATGTCCTAACTTAAGAGTTAAATTTTCAACAGCTGAAAGACAATACCATTGACATGTACCTGGCACTAATTACTCAGGTTTATTTTTTCCTGGAAAGCTGTTTTGGGCGACAGAGTGGCGTCCGGGTTTCCCAGGTTGTTGTGCTGACAAACTGCAGTGGTGGTAAAGGCAGGGAGCCTGACAAAATCTCATTAATCATTTTAAATTAAATCCAACATTCCTCTCCAACACTGCCAAGAAGAAAGCTAACTTTTACAAATGAATACTCTCTCTGAAAAGAACTGGTATCCTTACCATGTTGCTTTCATATAAATATGCTTGATTTCTGTTATGCACACATCCTCAATAAGTAGTGTTTTCAAGCTTAAAAACAATGCATTTGTTGGATTGCTGGAAATCTGAGAAGTGCTTTTTGCTCATTTCTGTATTACGTGCTATGAATGAGCCACATATCTGAAAATTAGAGCCTCTTCATTCTTTCAATGAATTGTAGTTTTTTTGCGTTTAAAATTATAAAGCAAATACAGAAAGTTCCTTTTTAATGCAAGAATATTTCACATAGAGAATGGAAGTATTCTGTATAAGTATTTTCTAATCCATCTCTTTTCTAAGCTTGTTTATATGAATAAGAAAGGAAAACTGCAAATTTACTAACATCACTGTCAGCAAAAGCACTGAAGTGATGAAGGAGTAATGTGATCTCTGAGGCTTTTTACATAAACATTCATTTCTGTAACCAATCCTAGCTATCTGGTTATGATTTAATTATACACATTGTATGGTAAGTCTTAACTTTTAACATCTGATAAATAATATTAGAAGATCACATAAAATTTTACCTTGCTAAAATCACCATTACATATAGATTATAAAAGTTGCTATATTATTTCTCTTGAAGGCGAAATGAAGCTATACTGTGCCTATGGGAGACACAGGAAATCCTTTAAGTCTGTCCTTTGTCCATTTTAATAGTGCTTTTGAGATTAGAGTGGTGGATTTTGTAATGGCAGCCAACAAGTCATCAGCCTTAATGTTTATTAGTTTTGATACTTACATGAAATATAAGAAAAAAAATCCCAATCCGATATAAGGCAAGTAAATCTGCCTTTTCTAAATACTTAATATTGCTATTTTGACGTTTTAACATGATCAAGTAGGTATACCTCAATTTTGCTTAAGTACTTAAAATAATTTAATACTTGTTTTCTAAAAACAAAACTACAAAAAATGTTAGATTGCACAATGACAACCTTACACAGAGATCAAAACTATTATCACTTCAAAAAAGAGAAATTTCTGCTGATAAATTTGTTTATTTAAAGAACCTTAATAAACTGCAGTATACTGAAGAGGAAATAGTAACATTTATTTGCCCAGCTAGACAGTTTATTTTCCTAAATCTGTATTTTGAAAGTGTTTATAATTTTTCTTTTTCCAGTGTGGGAGGTGGGAAGGAGAACAAATTGTTTTTTTTTTCCTGAACGTGAGTTTTTTGCCCACTTCAGAAGTGGCAAATGTGTCTCTAACTTACAGTTGTCTGAGCTTTTGTATGCTGAAGCAGCTTTGACTTATATTAAAAGCCAGAGCTGTATAAATCTGTTGTTTAGAGTACAGATGGAAGGTGTTCAGAACAGAAATTGTTTTGAGAAAATGTAGTATATCAGATGCTGTCTATAACTAAACCACGTGACTATGTAATATACACCATATTCCCTGAATAAATGCAGTGAGAGCCTCAGAATTTAATACAGGCAAGAATGAGCTGTATTGTGTGACACTTTACATGAACACTGGTACACCCATTTCCTCTACATGAGCAAACAACAGTTGTCCTTCTGTCACATCTGTGTATACTAAAGCTAGCAAAATTTCAGAAATGGCTATTCAGAACACAACTTCAGTGTCTTTTAGGACCAGAATAACTTGTGTTTGCAGGGGGATGGGCTGCAGGCTCATTTCTTCCTCCAGTGCTGCGTACAGTTAGCATAAAGGCAACATCACACGGCCAAATTCAAAGGCCATGCAGTCGTGGCAACACATTAGCACAGGAATCACTTTGCAGTTATGAGTATGATCATGCTCATGTAATTAGGCTTGGGATCCTCTATCTAAGTCTTCTGAAGTGCTTGATCAAGTAGTTATTTCCACCTCACATCATTTAGTGACACTTGGATCAATGAAGTATCACTATTTTCTTTTAAAATGTACATGGAGACACCAATAGTGCATTGAAGATGGTGCCCATAACTTAGGATTTAGAGGGGTTTTGGAGGATGATTAAGAGAATACTTTATTATTCTAACTTTGCAAGAGTATTGTTACACCTGCTTAAGATTTAAGACAGAAAATTGCCTAACTTCATGAAAAGTCTAGATTCTTAAAATGCAAAAAATGACTCTTCTGCCACTCTGGAGAAAGACTCAACCTTCAAAAGAAAAAAGGACAGAAAAAATGTCTAGTCATTTTTTGTTTCTTGGTTACCTCTAAGGGAATTCACACTTGGCACGTTGTATTTGCTGTTTTCTGTTCCACTGCCAGTTAGTAACATAATGTACAGTGCGAATTGGGCACCAACCATCTAACACTGTTCAAAATCCTATTGTAAAGATCAGATGTTCTTATCTGTATGTGATCAGGTTTTTTTCTTTTTCTCTGTTTCCCTGGATTTGTGTTTTATGGAAACTTTATCATCCTGTTTGTAATTTATCTTCTTGGTTGTTACACTGGCCTTGAAACTTTCTAGACTTTGTTAATAGATTTACTCATCTACTCCAGAAAACCCACGTTCTGTCTGCTTCAAGGCTTTGTTCTGTATCTGTTTAAGAATGGGAACTGAGGGTAACTGGATATTAGGAGAAATGCAGATTAACAATTTATACTCTCGTATCAGTGCCAAATGAAAACCTCTATCACTAACGTCAACATAAATAGCAGTCAGAAGAGAATTTGGCCTCACCCTGCATTTGTGGTTTGAGAAGAAAACATTTCCTGGTAAGATTAATTGTAATTTCAAAAGTCACTGAATTCTTAAGCGTGTAACTTCTGAGGAGTGTTTTCTGGAAAGCCATTAGTCAAAGCTCCCCAATGTACTGTATACTCTTTATTTGTGTTTGAGATTAATTGGCCACTGTGGAATGCATCCTTGGGTTTTCTGAGATATATGAAATGACACAGGGTGAAGCAATGTGAAGTTATTCTGAGAGAGGAGAGCAATTTTGTAAGACCTGTCTGGAAGATAGCTGCAATACTGCTGGCTCCTGGCTTTGGCTGTGTGTGCTACACAAATACAAGTTGCATTCATGCTTGATTAAAGGTAGTCTAATAAAAAACATGCAACTTTTTCTGGGCGCATTTTTGCATGCGGACTAGAGCTATAAAGAAAATGTACTAACATTTGAAATAGCAGCAGTAGCTACATTTTTTTTTCCCTGTCATTTATGTAGCCCTTATGTGGACTGTCATTATCATTGCTCTTCTGGTATCCAAGACAGATATAACACCCCCTAGGTGCCAAACGGAAAGCAGCGGTGTGGGCAAAGTGTGTGCCTATGAGGAGTATGACCTGTGTTCAATTCCTGGCTCTGCCACAGGCTTCCTACATAAAAAAGATCAGATTAATCTGTAAAAAAGGACTTAGAATATCTTCCTACCTCATCCCATGGTGTGGTAGGAAAAAAGGATAAATCTGCTTGTTATCATGATGAATCCAGATGCTAGCGATAGCTGAGTATTATGTAAACAAACATAATCAGGAACAGCTCTGATTTCAACATGTTATGTCAATTTAACAAAAGCTTTGCTCTATGACTTATCTGAATGAAAACCAGGCAGCTCCTCATTCAATTCCTGCACATGCACAGCAGTTGCACTGCTAATATTCTACATGTTTCAGAAGATGTTAGACACAACCTGACCCAAACCATTTCTGAAGTATTTTCATAAATCTCCAACTATTTAAAATCTAGCTACATGACAGATTTAGAAAGAGTAATCCAGCATCTGAGTCTGAAATGGCTCCTCAGACCTGCACAGTCACTGCTCGAACCTTGCACAGTCAGTTTTTAACAGCTTTAGCAACGAGTCATCTGGTGTGTATTTGCCTAGGCATTTCCATCACTGACACTTCTAGACCAAGGGAAGCAGCTGAAAGCAGCAACACATTAGCCATCCCTACCACATTCCCTGTTGAGACTTCTCCTCACTTCCCGTGCTGAATAGATGATTGTAGTTGTCCCATGTCCCCAGTAACGCGCCTGCAATAGAGGTTAGCGTGCTCTACGTAAACTGCACTATTTCTGCAGGCCATCCCTGTATGACATCAGGGTTCACCTAAAATAGAGGCTGTAATCTTCCTTAAAACTGAGTGAATAGCAGATTGGCAATATGTTAATTCAAGTTAGTCAATACAGTATTAAATATCAGCTTAGATATTTTACAAGTGTTTTGTCATCTCCTAGAATAAATTTTATTGTAGTATTCAGGACAATGTTTCTCTAACTTATGTATCTGAGGTAGTCAGCATTGTAAAAAAAATGCAAAAGAAAGAAGTACAACGCTATTTTAAGAGATAAAAGGAGAAATTTTAGTTAAAATATTTTACAATAAAATAATTATGATTATAAATCTCTTTAGTTAAATATATACACATTACATGGTATTCTAAAAAGAATGAACTTATTAAAGTTTCAAGCAGATCTAATGCACGAATTCACCACTTTGTCAGCTTAGACTGCACTGTCAGTTTAACATTCGTAAATGGCTGTGTCAGACTAATGGCATTGTTTTGTGCAAAACTAAAAAAATTATGAAAACCAAATCTCCAAATCCTTCCGTTCCCACGGTAAATAGATAGAAAAGGTAGTTTAACACATACACACACTTACACACACAAAATTTGATTGCATACAGAGGTTAGAATGACCAGCACTAAAATAACCCCCATCTCTACAAAATAATTAATTTCTTGAATTGATATAGTTTTTGAAAATTACAAATTTTAAGTGCTAGCAAATTGTGCTTTTAGGCAGCTACATGGCCAATAAGGTAGATGTTGTCATAAAGGTGTCCTACAAAATCTTCACTAATATTCTGTGCAGCTCTTCGTGTATTTCGGATGAATTCCCTCTTTGACATTTTATTCTTCACGTGAGGGCTTGTTAGGTCAATGGAAAGCAGAATCAAAGAGTAACACAGTACGTACACTGCATCTAGACAAGAGAGAATAAATAAAAAAATTTAAAAAGGAAACTGTGATCATTAAAATTATTGTTCCCTGTCCAAGAACTTTCTGGTCTTCATCATCTGGGCTTATAACTATATCTATCTATCTATATATATATATCTATACACACACATATATATAGCAATTCAGAAGGGTATCCCAGTGAAATAAAATTTAATATAGCAGTTTTCAAAGTAATAATGTCAGCACATTGCCAAATGAGCATTTACTCTTCATATTTCTTCATTATCCAAAAGTCACTAAAGGGCTTTATGCACATTCATTTAAACAGATTCTTGAAGTTTTTGTAATCTAAGGCCAACATTCTGCTAAAGCTTATCTTTAAACATGTAAGCAGTCCCACTGCTGAAAACTGGCTCCCCCCCAACCAATTAGAAATGCTTGTTAACTTGAGTGTGGCCCAAAATTCCCTCTCATCTCTGTGGGACTATCCACAAGGTAAAATGTTAAGCGTGTAAGTCTTTGCAAAAGGGAACTTAGAGATAGTACTTAATAGAACTTAAACACAGACAAAAGTGAAGGAAGGATAACATGAAAATAAACCCCTCTATCAGCTAGGTCTAAGAAAAGGATCTGTTTTATCTGTGTTTTTTTTTTTTTGTTTGTTTGTTTGTTTTTTTTTCCTCCCCTGTCTCTCAACCCAAGTGGTATGATGCCCATATACTGAGTCCTCCCCAAGCCATATTTGTATTTTCAGAAATACTTGTTTAGGTGCTGATTTTAAAACTATCATAAACAGTAGCATCATCCAGAAATATAAAGACCGATCCACTGAATCAAAGCTCTTTTTTGCTTACCAGGGCTAAGGCCAAGCTCTCTCATCAAATCAGGGTTACAAGCACAGAATCTGTGAGAGAACTTTGTTATGAGAGTCTCAAGGTACTCCCCACGCTCCTCAGGAGCATGAATGTGTCTGAAGAACTCTCTCAGTGCATTTGGCAAGAACTGATTTCTGAAGTTGTGCAGCGTCACAAGGTCATCCAAAACATCTCGCCTGGTAGAATAAAATCCCACATAATTACAGAAGTTTCTTTTAAGTGTTTAAATATGGAAACATAGGTTTTAAAAGTAACAATGAAAGCTTTAGAATAGTTTGAGATTTGTTTAGCACAAAGATAATATAAACACATGTCCTTCAGACACTTACAATAGTAGCCAAATACTATAAAAATATACATTAATCAGAATTCTGAGTTTCTTTATATGCATATTCAATCATAGTCCACATAGAGGCTTTGCTTCCTTTAAGCTGTCTGACAAAGCGATTAAAAAAAGACAGTAAGGGGAATAGATTCATGTGTGTCACAGATTTTGGTGCCTAAGAGGAAGCTGCTACAGGAGTATCTTGTTAAAACCAGGCTTAAGTTAGATAAAATTTGCTCACAAAACCCTTCAAGTCCATCAGGGTGCGATGCTCTCAAGCATTTTCCACTGAACACAGAAACGTCTAAATGATTCAGAGTAGCCTGCATGAACAGATGTGCAAAAGACATCTGAAGGAAATTTGGAAACAAATTTGAAGTGAACCAAAGAATATTCTCATATGTTTATCCTATTAAACATTTCAGTACTAAGAGGAAAGTTTCAACATTTAGAAACCTAGTTTTTCTTTTTAGTGCCTGATTACACTCTGTTTATGAAGGGAAGATGAATGGCAGTAGGGGGTGCTAATATTAACTTGCAATCTCATCCATTAAATGGCTTTGTATTTTTAAAATTGCCAAAAAACCTGATAATCTGTAGTTTTACAGCACAGGACTGCCAGTGGTGATAACACTGCAGAAAGACTCCTTTTATTCCTTTAGAGGTATAGGCTGAGGAGGATGAGAAGCAGGAGAGGATTCCTGCTAGAAGCGCTGCTGTCCCTCTGCTATTCCTACTTAGGTCAAGTTGTTATTCTCTTCCTCTTTCAACTTCTCTTGAATGTGTTGGTGCTCCTCTTTCCTGATACTGCACTAACCCAACCTGAGGGTATCCTGGCGGGCAAGAGAAAGCATTGTGGAGGCAGAAGAACATGCTACAGCAGGGAGAGGCTGCAGCTCATGCTAGCTCCAAGAGGATGCTCCATTGCATCTTAGGAAGTAGGTGTAACTTCCATCTGAGAAATATCAAGACAACCAAATAATGGTCAAATGATTCAACATTAGTTAAAAAGCTATCATCACTTGGTAAAGTGATAACTGTTTTTTCTGATTAACATCTATACTATATAGGAAAAAAATAAACCTCAAGTCAAAAAAAAAGCAGCAAAATTTCTGTAAAATCTGAATGTCATACAGCACAGATTATCCTGTGCGGTTTAAATGCTCACTGTAACTTTAAAACAATTTATGCCTAGAACTGCAAAAATGTAGAAAAAGCACAGGATTCAAGATTTACTTGTTATAGGTGGTATTTTCCGGTGTTCTTGAAGTGTTACATTCACATAAATACTTCAACTGAGTTAACTATTCAGATTTGGCAGCAGCATTACTTACTTGACTTTTTTTTTTGCATTTTTACATCTTTAAAATTACATCAATACAAGCAAAGCATTGTTGAATGGTGCTGTACATTGAAAATTAATAGGAAACATCTCAAGAGAAATTCAAATTACCTTTCATCAAGGTAGATTCTCAGCTTCTTCCAATTTAGTGTTCTTGTGCAAAAGATAAACTTAGCTATTTCTTTCGGCGAATCATCTAGTATGCCCTTGGACATAAAGTAGTTGACTCCCTGAGATAAAATACATGTTTGTATAAATACGCTTAATTTTCATAGTATGTTTAGGAACAAGTATTGTACTTGGTAATGTAGAGGAATATAACCCTACTAATTAGTTGGTTTGTTTTTCAGAATGATTCCTCTTCCCCTAAATCACATTTCAACATGCATAACAGTCTAAAATTATAAATCAAACGCAAAGAAACAATTTATTGTTCTGGTTGAGATTTTACATATACTCACAGTAGGAAATTTAGAATTATGAACCCCATAACGAGATACCATAATGTGATGGTTCTTTAATAATTTCCTTGGTGTAGACTAGTATTTTGGGTTTTGTATTTTAGTAGTTGTATTTAAAATGCTGCGGGGACCATAACTTTTAATTTCATAACTTTTGTAAATAAGAAAATCTTAGCCATAATGTGTTTAGTCTTTAATATCTTTCATTAAAACATTAATGTTCTCACATGTATATGATGTGTCACATTCAAACAGATGCACCAAATGCATTTGTTTAAATGTGTAATAATGCAAATAAACACAAGCACGCTGATTTCAAAACATAGGTAAATATCAACATATATAAATATGCATACACATAAATAAGAACACTGCCTAACATAAGAAAAAGTTTAAAAAGATAGAACAATTGTATATATTTTATAGTCGTATTATGCTTTCCAGAATTTTCCACACTTTGCCAAGCACATATTTCTTATAGAATACACATGCCAAATGTAATTTAAAAATATTAGAGTGATATTCTGGATTCTTTCTCTTCATTGAAATATCCCAAAGCATAAAAACATTTTCTTTGTGATCTCAGAAATCAAAACCAACCTAATGGATTTTAAAAATGTTCACATTTTTCAACAATATGAATCTAAGCCTGAAAATAACTAAACAACTAGTTTCAATTCAATTTGGCAGGAGCTGGGGGTGGTTCTGAGCATTTGTTACAAAGAAATGTTACAATACTCAAGTACAGTATCACTTGACTATACCATAATGTTGAAGTAATGTAAAATGTGTAGGACTGCATTTCTGCATAGGTTAATGTACCAAGGCCACAACCTAAATCACCTTTAAAACACTACTTAAATCTTTTTTCATAAGTCTTCTGATATCAAGCTTCACAATATTTTGCAAGTCTGTTCTTTTAGTTTACATTACACCTGTAAAGATGTACAGGCAGCTTGTCATTCAGCACGTAAACTAACTTCCCAGTGCTCTTCAATTTTGCTTAAAAAAGAAATAAAGGACTGAGTGCAGGTTTGGAAAGTTGTTTTATGAAGTGGATTAGTAAAGCAAAATCTCATTTATAGCAAGCAAAAAAGAAATTAGAATATGTGCTCAATATAGTGATAACACAATTGAAAAGCCAACAAACACCTGTAATATTATCTAGCTGATTTTACCAATCCATAGTTTTTGCTTATATATTTATAGAAAATAGCAGTTAATCATCATGCCTTTTTGTTGTTGTTGTTAAAAGAATGTTTTATAAAATAAATTATAACAGTTTTATATAGGTAAGATGAAAAAAAAAAAAACCAGCAATTTTAGACTCTGATTTTAAGAAGAATCTTTATTTAGGATCATATTGAAACACGAATTGCAGCTTGTATTTAAGTTTGTCCATAATATGGATGGACAGCATAAAGTTAAATACTTTCTTGAATTAGAGCTTAACTGGAAATTAAAAATTGGAGATTAAAGCGAACATCAACTGCGTATCAGTTCCTCAAGTATTCTGGTAATTTACCTAAGATGAGTGGCAGAACATCTCCTTTATAGATATCCTGACTTAATGAGACCTATGCATTTGCTTCAGTAATAAGCATTAGCTTAAGGTAATACAAACTAAAGCCTGACGAGGAAGTCTTAGTAGTATTCCTGCTACAATTATTTAATAAATACTTCTGCAACATATCCAGAAAACACCTGGCATGTCATAGATGAGACAGCATGAAAATAACACCTAGTTTAAAACAATGGGTTGATTTCCCTGTGGCACTAAATGCTGTAATTTCTTTCATGTATTCGATTTCAACTCAGTGTAGGATCTTTACCAAGTTTTTTCAGTGCCTTCATTCTCTGAATCCCTCTCTCCTCCCACCACACATAATGCTTGACAGTATCTTTCTCTGTGAATGCAGTCTTGTTACTCATTTTATCTCCTTCACAAATACGCATGGTATAAATAAAATATACTTCAGCACATGCCATCATTTTTAGCTGCTTTTTATTTCTTCCTAAGCAACCACAAATACTTTGCAGCAATAGAAACCTGACTTCTCTTTAAAGTTCTTAAAATCTGGCTCACAGCAAATGAAATTTATTGATAAGATTAAGGCATGTCATCAAATCTGCTTTTTGTAACACTGTAAACACTGCCTTGAATCCCTCTCAGAACCCACACTTCAAATAAATCACTTTTGGTAGCTAAAATGGTCACTTGTGGCAGGTATACTAGCAGAAATAAGTAGTTCTACACACTATTAAAATCTATGCTAAGAGTATTTATCAGTCATCTGGTGACTCTCAGGAAACATTTGACTAAAGTCAGGTAGGCAGATCTGTGCCACTGTCAACCAGGTCTGAAGAAGTCTCTGACACTTTGGAAACACTGCAGGATGAGCACATATGATATGCTCTTCTATTTCTGATTTTGTGGAAGAGTAGTTAGGTGAACAGTACAACAGCCAAGATTTCCAGTAGCTCACTGTCTAACCTGTATGAGAAGCCTGCTTGTCACTATAAGGCTCTTAGCATTAGAGAGTTAGAAAAGAAGCCTTAAGCATACCTTGCCTCTGTGGCAAGAATGTTACCACTGAATTTCAGACAGCTCTGGATAAAATCTTAAGGTATGAAAGTGTTGATTATATATGAAAATCACAATCATAACTATAGACTAGTAGCAACAACAAAAGCCATTTATTGAATTCAATCCATCATGTTTTATACTTGCTCCTTTTTTTCCAGTCACACAATGCTTGTTTTGCCAACCTATTCTATTATAGCACTGACCTTCCTTGCTTGCTTTTTACCTGTTCCCAAGGGCCTTTCCATTCATTTATATCCACACAGGATATCTAAAATTTAAAAGCTTTCTTGTTTCAGTACTGGTTTCATTTCTGCATTGATTTTCTTCTCTGCTAAGAGTACTGTCAGAACATTTCAGTACAACAGTCAACATTAAAACTTCTGTAGTTGCCTTTGCCATCTCTGTCTCAATATGCACACAAAACAAACCAAACATGTTCTAAGTTAACAGCACAGAAATTTTGGAATCGGTGTTTTTCTACACATGTACATGATTTTTCAGTATTTAAATAGAACTGTCTGCAAAGACAGAGTCGGGAGACAATGAAGCTTTTTACCTAATACTTATTTAAAAGTAGTGCATCAAAATATATGACATACATTTGTCAATAAAGACAAATTTTACTTGATATTTGAAATTTCAAGTTTCACATAAATGGCTGTATACATGCTCTATTTGTTTAGCTTAAACAGTTTTAACAGGTGACTAAGGAAATCACTAGTAGTATATTAACGTTAACATTTTTAGGTGATTTGTAATTCCGTGAGGTATGCTTTTACATTCTGGTAGAATTAGATAAGTAGCAACATACAATGTTGATTTCTTTCTAGTCTGCACTGTATTAAAAAAAGATGATTTTGATCACTAGCCAAATGAAAACATTCTTAAATGAAAGCTTAAAAAAATATGATTTCAACTTTAAATATTAGCTTAATTACTCAGATAAATTCTTTGAGGGTAGTGACTTATTTTATTCTGTATATATAGTATCTGGCATAGTAGGGCCTCAATTTCTAATTCTAGGTAACACTAACATTATTGTTAAATAACAGTTAGACATGTATGGTGGTATTATCCCCATTTTTCCAGGGAAATGCAGTATCTTAATATATATTATGGCGCATCTTCTGGAACAAAATGCAGAGCACTGATATTTTCTAATAGAAATTTTTAAGATTCTTTTCCTAAGTTACGAATCAAGTCATTTGGTGACAAATGTGGACACAATATAGAACATATTTTTCAAACAGCATCTCTTTCACTGTATGTCTTTAAAATACAGTCTCAGTGGTACACTTATGATGGCAGAAATCACAAGTAGAATGTAGAAATGTTGTTCATGTTACACAGAATCTGTAACTGTAATTTACAAGATTAAAGTTCTCTGACTCCACTGTAGAGTTTTCAAAATGTTTCAGCTGTGTGCTCCATTCCAACCTTTCAGATAGATCACACAAAGAACTTCTTCCCTCTACAACATACACATATTTTTAATATTCTTACGACGGATAAATCAATGCATCTAAAAACTGGCTTGCTCAGTATATCACTATGAAATAGAGTAAGTTTTCAAGAAATTTGGTTAGAAATATACAGCACAGTAAATATTAGATCATCTTCAGATTATTAATAATTAAAAGTCAAGTAAGGTAGCTTTATGCAAGTGGCTAACAACTGATTTATAATCAAGAAAAGGTCAGAAAACTGATCTCCCTGGCAAAAACTAAAGGCAGTTGGTAACGAATGAGACAATTAGAAGAGTGGAAAGCTGGGCTTGGTATAAGCACTGTCTTACTGTACTTTATTGTTATTATGCTATATAAAGGAAATCCTGACCTCACTGAAGTCTGAGAGTTTCGGTACAGTCCAGATTCCAATAGATTGACAAAAACAAAAGCTATTAAGCAGAACCAGTTAGAATCATTATCATTAAGAGTGAAACAAAAATTAGATCTTCCCCTCCTGACCAAAAGATTCTCCTTTCCACCTTCAGTTCCAATTTTAACTACATAAACTCGACAAAATATTTTGTAGGGAATTAAAAACAGTATACAGAACAGTGGGAAATAACTTCCAGTTGCTTACAAATTCTGAGTCATAAGCGTATGAGATATGAAACAAGCTCTGCGTGAGAAACATTTCACGTATACCATACACTCTTTAGAATAAAATACAGCAGAGACCATGTAGGCAGATTAAACAACATAATCTTCATATTCAAGTGTTAATACTAACACTAAACCACATCCTCTCCCAAAGAAACAAAAACTCAAATCTTGGCTACAATGGTGCTGCCATACGAAAACAAAACAAAACAACAACCAAAAAAAAATAAAGAAAAAAAAAAGAAAAACCAAACATCCAAACATGCACTGGAGTGTTTTTATTTTCAGGTTACGTGTAATGTGATTAGACACATCCTTTCAGCAGAATGTGAGCACCTGCTATGAATTATGCAAGCTCATGCACACAATCAATACATTAAGTTGCAGCAGATATCACAACACCATGCACACAACAATGGCTAACCAGAGAATCCTACCACAAAGTGTGTAGATGCTCTTCCCTACCCCGTGAGCCACCGCTAGCTCTGGAGCTGTTGCTGTGGAGCCTGGTTACCCATTTTCATGACATGGGCGGTGTCCTTTGGAGAATCTTGCTCCTGTGGCTGTAAGTATTCCTATTTTTATAGTAATTTGATCAGGTCTGTTATCAAATGTAAAGCAGAGTTTGGCAGGAAATTCGGAGACGCAATTTGCAATAGTGGAATGTCATATCATATGTTCCAGTCACAGTGTCCTTATTAATAATAATTCTGCCAATATCACAGTTGTAAACAATAAAAGCAATAGTATTTATGAATTCTCCTGAAACTCAGGCCCTGAATGATTCCTACCAGGCTATGGTGCTCCACAGGGAGAGAGGAACAGAAACCCTTGGGAGATAGAGGGTCTCATCTCTCGCTAGACCTGAAGCAGACTGTACTACCATTGTACAAGATAAACATAATGAACCCAGAAGTAATAAGTGTAGCATAATAAATTTAATACCTAATTTAGGTATACTATAAGGTAGCTCTAATTTGCAGATCTTTATTTCCTTTAAAAACAATTTTTTATTAGTGCCTTTTGTGAAGGTTCCAAATGCTTTAAACCTACCAAAATTACTTTAAATTAGGTTGGAATATAACAGCATATTATAAACTAAGATACTAAGTGAAAAATTATGTTACACCAAATTGAAAGACAAAGAAAAATTTGGGTGAACAAAGCTGTTACCAATTAAAACTTGATATATTCTTGAAGACACATTTAAGTTAGCTAAATATTGCATTTCAGTTGAAAAGCTTTACATTTATTACTAAATTCACTAAAATCCTGCTGAGTCAATGCTGATCACTCAGGTGGAAAGGTGCTGATAAGACGTCTCAGCACTGTGTATCACAGTTCAAGGCAGAGCTCTACCAGAGAAATTACAAAATACTGTAACTTGTGACTAATACAAGTAGTGGGTTTCTTTATCAAGCAGAATATGAGATAAAGCAAGAATTTAAACAAAATCACATTATTGTAATGATTCATATGACTGCTTTATTTATTTCACCCATGGTCACAAGTTCATGTTTTCTGTATCGTATCAGCAGAGTGAACTATTTGCTCCTAGAAGTATATCTTTTCATGTCTCTTAATCCTTTTCCTACTTCAGATTTATTCAATTACCACTTCCCTGTGTATGTATAAATATATATAGGAAGTTAACACTACTTTTTGTTCAGCACTGTGTACCTTCTTTTCCTAGGAAATATTGAAGGGGGAGCCTGGTTTTGTACACAAAAGACTCTTTTTGTCACTCGGGTGTTAACTGAGTATCTCCCAGGCAAGACCTGTATACTCTCAAACTCTTTTCTTCTTTGAAAGGTGACAGAGTGAAAGGAGAAACTGACTTTTCCAGTTAGTTACATTAATACATGGAAATCTTTTAGCTTGACATGGGGTAATTTTTGAAAATAAATATATGTTGCTATACACTATAAAGAAATATTATGTTTATATATAACAAACATCCACAGAAATCAAATCAAACTGAACTTTTCGACAGTTCAGCAGTACATCTTTTTCATAACATTTCAATATTTGCTCCTTGATAGTGGAAATTGGAAATATTTAAAAATCCCTTACAAGAAACCATAATTGTCATAGGAGTAACTGGTGTTACTTTATGCCTCATCCTGCTTTAACTGACATGTCCCACTCATACTTTACAGAAGCATTTTAGCATTTTAATTTATGTAAGCATATTATTATCCTTTTTAAATCCACCACTGTCTTCAGTTAGGATCTCTGCCTTGCTCCTCAGTCAATATGTGGTTATGAATTTCTGGCATCCATATATAAGACTGCTATACAGAGCACTTCAGAGGCAAGCCATGTCAATGATGTGCACAGGTATCATACGCAAAAAAAGATCAGTCTAGGGCTGTAACTTAGTATTAACCATTCCTACAGTAAAACAAACACCTATTAAAACTTGGCTTTTAATATGACTACAATTATAAAACAACAATCACAATTCTTTTAACTGTTTATTACTGTCAGCAACAGTTCACTTACCTCATCAGGGTTGGCATTAAAGGTGAGACTGCCCTCATCTAGCTGCATATACAATTTTCTAAAAGAAAATCCTAGAGGCGGATTCTTATTGTATATAGAACAGTGACCCCAAGTGGATTTGCACAACCTATGAAAACAGAATTAATCTATTATCAAAATTGCTTTCTGTATTTCATGTATTTTACAGAAGCAAAATGTAATCAACGCTACAAAGCCAAATAAACTACAGGAAAAGTTAGAAATAGGTTGCTTGTAACACTTAGTTATTAAGCCTTTTGCATGTGTGTTGCTGAAGTCATCAATTATTTGATTAATGTTTTCTCACACAGGTTTTGGTGTATTTGAGTGCAATTCCAAAACATATTCCAGTAGGCGGCATCCAAATGCCATCCACATGGCTGAGATCTTCGGCATGCCTACTATCCGAACACTGGATAACTGCGACAAGTTGTTCCACAGCAGAATGACAGATTAAAAAAAAAAAAAAGTGTTTCTTTTCTTGTGCTCTGGTTGTATAGTGAGTGGAACACCACATCTACACAAAATTATGCCATTAACTCACCACTTTCCCACCTGACTGTCCTTTTTCCAGTCTTGACCTGTACTACTTGATCCAGCCCCATCCCTCTGTTTCTGTCCCTCATCTCAGTCTTCTTGATGACACCATCAGAAATTCCCTTAAACTGGCACATTCTAGGCACTCCATTTGTTATCTAGATTCCTTATTGAACTGGTAGCTCTGCTTTAACACGTTTTGCAAATAGCTGGGCACAATGCTTAGACCCAGCAGGTATCCACTGACAACATGGGAGAGACTTTGTTTTCAGTTCAGGAACCTGGGTCTTATTTGGATTGAGTTCAGAACTGGAGCCACAGGATTTACCACAGCTTAAACTCAAACATACCCAATGCATGTGAAATACTGAAGACAAAGATGTCTACAGAGATTATGCAAATTGATATTTCTATTAATTTGCTAAATCAGGACACATTTACACTACCAAACTATATACTTTGAACTGAGTATTATTTGGGAAGATTTCACTAAAAATGATTGAGCTACCTCCCAGGATGAACTCTGAGGAACACACGTATTTTTTCCCCCTGTATGTTAAGACAATATACTACATACAATTAAGAAGCTCTAGTATCTTCGAGCTTTGGTCCAGGGAATTTCTTTGTATTTAGCGTGGTTTTGATACCAAGAACAAAGTACAATACAACACATACTGAGATACATAAACTTAGAAGCTTAGCAGGTTCTTCCCTAAAATTTGTATTTCCTGCCAAGAGACAACATTCAACAACAGCAGAACAATCGTGACTAAAAAGTTATAATTGCATTATCTTATAGCTGAGTTTGTGAAGCATGATAGGAAGTGAAGCTGACAGGAAAAGAAACAGATGAGGGAAGGAAGAGATGTAGAGCACAATGAAAGGAAAACAACAGGACCTGAACAACCACCCAGATATAACAGTAACACTACTTACTGTCTGTTAAGGGGTAAGAATATGTTGTGAAAGAAGCTACATGTTGAACATCTACTCTAAAGATAAGCATGATTTCATGAGTCTTTCCTAGTGTTGTAAAACATCAAATATCAAAGAAAATATTTTAAATTAAATTTTGATCTTACATTATTTTATTTGATAGAACACTCCTTTATTTATTTCCTGGACATACAAACTCTGCATACATTATATAAATGTGTTTCAGCTGTTAGACTGCAGAAATTCCACTCGACACATGTGCAGAACTGACCTTCTCCTTCCCCTTTTCACCACCATCTTCCATAAAACATACACTTAAGATGCTCTAAGACAAGTATAATAGCTGAGTCCTCAACCCTTTCTACCTGGAGCTTCAGCTGAATAGGTTTGCTTCCTCAAGCTAGGTATCTGTTTGAAGTTCAGAGAAGTAATAATACATACATTTGAGATGTGCTTTGAGCTAGTACAAAAGTGAAAACAACGCCTTGGTTTTGTTCCCATGATATATCAAACAATATTCATGTTTCTCCTATGCGAAATCTCAGCCATTGCTAAAGGTTAAAATGACAAAAAACGCATATTGAGACAAATTAAAAATCCAGTAATTATTTTGACTCTATCCAGGTGATTTTTGCTTACCCTTGCCAGAGAAGCTCATCATTAGCAAGATCCTGCCAGACGCATGAAGCTAGACAGAGATCAGTTGCATTCAGGTATGACAAGATGGTAAAACTAAGCTCTGGTGGCAGCATTTCCAGGTTAATGAATCCTTCCTGTTCTTTAGATTTTCTTGTCTTCAACAGGTGGTAGATATCAATGCCTCCTTGGGCTTGTTTGCGATGGCTGGTATTGGAAACACTGTTAGTAGCTATCCTCCTACCATGATCTCTGGTAAGATAGCCTTGTCCACTGTATCCTTGGTGTTGCAGCTGCTGGTTCCTAGCAACTCTCCAGAGTCCCTGACCCATCTGTGAGCCTGCTGGACATAAAATCCAAATTAAATGTTGACAGTTATTTATAAATATTTGTAAGACAGATTCAGCACACACTGGAAAAATAAAATTGTAGGACTGATCTGAATAGGAAAAAAAGTGATTTTTTATCAAAGTTATGCTGTCAATGTAATCTGTCTCCAATGAAGCAACTGAATAAATACTGAAAACAAAAACCATAAAAAAAGCAGAAGATTTTTTTCAAACACTTATATGCTTGAAGAGTTACAAAATTAACGATAAGCTTCTGCAAACAGTACCAAACATAATCTATGTCCTATGCAATTTAAAAAGCCTTAACCATCAGAACATTTAGAATTATCTTCAGAGTTCCCTTAAAATTTAACAGAAATAGCTTATTTAGAGTCAATGAAGTGCTATAAAATGTAAGAAGAAACAAAAGTGTCCTGAGTAGTGGGTGGTACACAAAATTAGGCTGTGACTGACATTAAGACAAAGCTTAATGACTTCAATGATAATGCATTAAGGATTCAGTTTCTTGTTTCTGAGCACCCAATATATCTTTTCAAGCTTTCTTGCACAGTAGCATAAAAACTTCAAGATACGACTTCTATATCTTACCTATCACTGTGTTATTTTTTTGGTCAAACATCGCTGCAGATGGTAATAAAGAGAACAAATACTGAATGTTGGTCAGTTATCAAGATTTCTCAATGCCACAACTCAAATTTCAGAAAACATCCATATTTACACCAAGAAGAAAAATTACTGTATGATAAATCATACTAAATCAGTATGTGAATATTGTCTTAATCCCATCACAAGTTGTATATATATGGTGATCCATCTTATTTTTTAACCTTTGCTATGATGACAGCTCACTAAAGTGATCATATTAGTAATACGCAGTCTCTCGATGCTGACTTTCAAGAAAGAAACACTTATGGCCTGATCTGGTAGGATCTCATGTGCATCTAAAATGATGTATATTCCATTAGCATGGGGAAGTAAAAATGGGGCTTTAACAGTGTTAAAGGTTGGACACGAATGGAAACTGTTCTCATAAGCAGAAATAAGAGAGTGGTTATGGAAGGAAAATGAAGAAATTGGAAATTACAGACAAAAAAAAAAAAAAAAAAAAAAGCATAACCAAGATGGAAATAGACAAAAGCGAGGCTCAGCCAGCTGATGAAGCAGTTATCTACACAAGCATCCATTCAGGGGAAGTTCAAGAATTCATTTCTAGATAAGGCCACAGTTGTGAAGAAACTGTAGCCACATACATTATATTCAATCTAGTCATATTCAAGATTTTACATAAATTCATGACTATTTTTATTCTCATTTCTTGTACAGTTACATATTTAGCTTATTTTTTTTATCATATAGAGGCAGGTTAAACCATAATCAACTGCTGCAATTATCAGGAAAAATTAAAAAAAAAAAGCCTAATGAGTTACACCATAAATAGGTGTTGCGGTTTGAGCCTGGTTGGCAGCCAACCACCGCACAGCCACTCTCTCTCCCTTCTCTTCCAGCAATAAGAAGGGACAGAGAGCCAGGCTTGGGGTTTGAGATAGAACTGGGATGGGGAAGAAAAAAAAAAAAAAAAAAAAAAAAAAAAAAAAAAAATATCACCCTTTATGGTCACGAGCAAAAGGCAGACTCGTTAGGGGAAGAAAAAGCCCATACATTTATTACAGACACTAACAACACATAACAGAGTAGGACAGTGAGAAGCATTGCCACATCTTGAGAACACCTTCCCCCCATCCCTCCCTTCTTCCCAGGCTCAGCTCTGCTCCTGATATCTCTACCTCCTCCCCCAGTGGCGCAGGGGCAGGGAATGGGGGGGTGCAGTCAGTGCTGCTGCTTCTTCCATCTTGAGTTGGGGGGGAAATTCTGGAACTTGTTCCCCCCTGCTCCATTGTGGTCCCCTTCTCACAGGAGACAGTCCTCCACAAACTTTCTCCAGCTGGAGTCCCTCCCACCGGCCGCAGCGTTCCCCACACTGCTCCGTCATGGGTCACCAACTTTCTCTGACTTGATTCCCTCCCACGGCTGCAGCCCTTCCCGAGCTGCTCCGGCGTGGGACACCCCCGCATGCTGCAATCCTCCCAGCGCTGAATTACAGCAGCGGGGCTGCCTTTTCCAAGACCTCGGCCTTCTTTGGGCACAGAACCTTGATCAACCAGGCGAAACGAAACACAGGCCATAAATCAGTGTCTGCTCCACCGTAGATCTCCATGGGTGGCGGGGGGGGCTGCCCTGCCGTCTCCCCACAGGATACAGGAGGGTCTCTGCTCCGGCACACCTCCCCCCTCCTTTCTTCCTCCGTTCCTCCACTGACCTTGGTGTTCACGCAGCTGCCCCAACTCCTCCTCACCAGTCCCACTGCTCATCACCATGTCCCTTCTTAAATACGTTATCGCAGAGGTGCAGCCGATTGGCTCAGTTTCCCAAACAGAAGTGGAGCTGACGTGGAGCTGGGGGAGCTTCGAGAAGCTTCTCACAGGGGGCCGCCCCGATAGCCCCCTCCCTGCCACCAAAAAACCCCACCACTCACTCAACCCAGGACAGCAGGATATACAACTGGCTGCAAGAATGTATGTATAAAGAAGGCATTCTCATCTTCTTGAGACCAGAATACATTTTTTAAAAGTCCTGTTACCATTAAAGCTGCTCCATGACAGGAACCTATACCACAATCTGCCATTTAAAAAGTGGCAACACAAGGATGAGCAGACTGATGAAAGTGGGCCTTGGTAATTTATGCTGGTGTTTTCAATTAATTTATGGATCTTCTAGCTGTAAATAGAATGTATTTCTTCACAAGATGAAGAACTCTGCCTTTATTTTTCACTGCCTAGCTAGATTAAAGTAAAGAGTTAGTAACTTTTTTTAAAGAGACATTCCCAGAGCTGCAATTGCTCAGTGCCACCTTTTTCTGAACTAAGTCTCTCCAAGGAAAAGGAAGTTACTAACCTTCATCCCAAAGGAAGATCACCAAGCACTGTTAGAACAGAATCTAGAGCTATTAAATGAATCAGCAGTAGGTGTACCACAATTGGCATTTGGGACTACAGGTATAAACCCATCAAGTGCTCCTGCCGCCCCAACTCCAGCTGGTGCTGCTGTTGACCCTGCTGAGCAGGCAGAGCCTGCAGTGATTTGCAGTGAAGAACCAAGCTAAAAAACAGTTCCTGTGGGTAGGCACTAACAGCCCAGGGCTGGAAGGAGGAGATGAGACTTTCCTAAGGGATGAAAAGAGCAGATAAGGAATATTACTGAGCAAATACAGTATTTCAAAAAGGGCTACTATCACGATGCTAGAGGATTCAATTAAGATAAAGTTCCCATTTTGCTAGGCACATTATATGAGTTTGTTAATTACTTACAGTACTTAGTAAACAGATATCTCTAGATATCTTGGGAGGCTACAACCAATTCTTGACCTTAGCCCTGTGAGTAAATTGAACATTGCCAACAAGGCATTACGCTTTCAAATATGCAGATGACAAATTTAGAGGCTGTGTTCACTCCTGGAAGATAGCAGATGATCTGAATGACTGAATAATAATGATCTTTCAATTCAATTCTGTAAAAAATTTAGGATTTTGGATTTTGAAAGAGGTAAATGTATACATGCACATGTAGTTGTAACTCAAAGATAAACTGCATGTTTTCTCAGTGTTGCTCTTCATGTAAAAAAAAAAAAGTAATTTCTGACTGAAAATATAGCATTGACTCAAAATGACAAAATAGCCAAACAGTAAATACTAGTCTCAGGGACAGAGAGAACCAGGAGTGAGGGGTTGTAATTCCTCATCATTATTTCAAGTCCTTAACCACTAAAGCAGTATAAATCAGCAAGAAAAAATGTGACAATGTTGTAATATTAAGCCTTAAATTTTACAAAAGATGAAATGGGAGACCCTATTTATGTAAACTGTGTATGTCAAGTAGAAAGGTAAGTTCTGTTAATTGCAGAAATCTGTTTGCTGAGGTAACTTTTTGTAAGACAAATTAAGGAATTTATTTTGCTAGTATTTTTCTCATCGTTTCTGACATTAGTTTACATCACTGTAACAAAACCACATTTCTATACACATTTGTCAACTCCCAAATTTTAAACATCTTCTGAAAATGCTAATTATTTGCGCATAGTTTAAATAAAAGAGAAAAAAAAGGACTAACAGGAAATTCAAGGCTCTGAAGATCATTAGGAATTGTATTGTGACATGTTTCATAATCATAATATACCAGGAAGATGAGAAAGACCAGCAGCATTATCAGAAACAGTTCACAGAAAGGCCGTGCTCAGTCAATTATCAAGTGAACTTTAAGCTATCAGGTAAGCATCTGGCAATTTTATAATAGCTTTCAAGCTTCTTCCAAGTGAGATTATCTTTCTGTTCTATATGCATTACTTGCAAAGAATTTGGTAGTGGTCACAGAGGGCCAAGTTCTCCTACTTAGCCCTAAATCAAATATCCAAATTTTAGTTGCTAGTTTAATATCTTTATTGAAATATTAAGCTAGAAGTTACTGTTCACAAAATATGTTCTACTGAGGAATACTGAGCTAACATGAAAATCAGCAGTTCTTGATGGACCTCATGGGGTTGTTCTCCCCACACAAAAGCTAATTGCTATACATCACCAACAACATAATTATTTTTAAATTATTTAACACTAGAAAGAGGTTCTGAGACAAAAAAAAAAAAAACACTACATCATTCAAGAAACTAGACTTCTTGCAACATACATATGAATACAGAAGACATCACCAATGGAAGGAATTTCAGAGTAGAAACAAAGTGAGAGACAGTTTGAACCATTCTAGAACCAGCTACCAGAAATCCACAAGATTTAATATTCATGTAGTTATTCAGCAGCTTATACGTCATTTGTTAGATCACATATTATTTTCCCCATCACGCAATTACTTTCAGCTTTGTACTAATCCAGGATGAATGCTTTGAGAACTCACTCATAAAAAAAGATGAGTAAACTCATTGTTATTCTAAAGCCCTTTAAGTAATGGTGTCCAGAACTATATTTTTACGTTATTTTGAACATAGATTTTGTCAATCTCCAGATTCAATAGGCCACTCAAATGTACGTTTCCAAGCCTCCAATTATATAACTTTATCTAATGACTGAAACATCTTGGTACCCTGGCTGCAATAACTATCATAGTAAAAATAACTAATTGCTGATCTTCGCTATCCGGTGTCTATCGGAGTCTGATTTCAATTTTAATCATGTCTTCATGTTACCTTGTTACTGCAGAATAAATTATTTTGCAGCATCAGAGAGCATGACAGGATACTAAAAACTAAATCTAATCTAGATTAATGCCGTATTGGGGCTGGCTTCTGCTTTACTAATACACAACATAAAGTCTCGATATAAACCCAGTCCATGCTACGGCGACCAAGTCCCACAGCTGCCCGCAATTACCCTAACTGGAAAACGCTCCTGCCCTCGACGCTTCGGAAGCTGAGGCTTCGACCATCGCAGCTGCATTCGTGACGGAGGCCTGCTGACCACGGCGGCCGTCCAAACCGGACTCCGGGTTCCGGGGGCACGGCCAGTCCCCCTCAAGCCCAGGGGAGCCCCCTTGGCCGAGGGCCGCTGCCCTCCCGCGTCCTGCGCGCCCTCCGCCCCCCCCGGGCCACCCGTCTCCCCGCGCCGGGGGCACGGTTAGCCCGAGCTACGGCCGCCCCGCGCCCGCCGGCGACCCTGGCCGCGCCGGGTACCGCCCCCTCGCGCCATTGGGCCGCCCCGACGGCCCCGGCTCCCGATTGGATGCGACCCCCGTCCGTCCGTCCGCAGCCGCCTGCCCCGCTGAGGGGAAGCCCGCGGGGCCCGTACCTGTGCGCTCTCGGGTCCCAACCGCCGCCGCGACGAGCCCGGCCCGAGTCGGTACGTGAGCCTCGCCGGGCAGGAGCGGGCTGAGCAGCCCCCGGCGGCGGGGTGAGGCGGTGGGAGCCAGGGAGGCCCCTCCGGCACACAGGGAAGCCGCCGCCGCTCCAACTCCTCGCCCGGCAGGTTTGACGTTTTCTGTTGTTGCTGGAAGTGACGTCACCGCGGAGGGACGCGCGGGAAGCGGAAGCGGCGGTTGGGTCTCTCGGCGGCAGATTCGACGGCCCCCTGAGGGGAGACAGCGGGGCACCCGCTGCGCCGGCGGCAGGGAGGGCTCCCGCAGCGGGGGCAAGGGTGAGCGACAGGGTGGGGGTCTCTGGGGCCAGGGTTCGCCCCCCCGCCTCCCCCCAGGGGCCGGCGGCGCGGCTCCGAGCCCGGGGCCTGCCCGCCTTCCGTCCCTCTCTGCCCTCAGGGAGGGCGAGCCCCGGAGCGCCGCGGGGGATGCCCGGTGTCCGGCTGGAGTAGGGGCGAGGAAGGGCGGGTGAGGAGCCCGGTCCCGCTCTTGCGAATTCGCCTCAGCGCCCTGGCGCAGCCCCGGGAGCTCAGCCGGCCTCGACCGTGGCAGGGCCACGATGTTTTTGGTTTTTTTTTTTTTTTTTTTTTTTTTTTTTTTCCTCCTGCCGGGGTGTTGCGGTAGCGCCCGGGGCAACCGCGACGCGCAGATCCTGGTGCTCGTTCGCAAGGGGCCTGGGTGCTTGAAGTGGGTCTGCTGCAGCTGGCGCGGCTAGCGAAGCGCAGTATTTGCCCTTGATGCTTTTGCATCTCTGCAAAACGGTGTGATCTCCCCGCCCCATGTAACAGAAGAGTCTAACTACAACTAGGGAAAATAAAAGGGTTTTTTTGCTAGACATTTCAAAGACGGTGTTTACAGTGTTAAGATGCTTGATGACTTGCATGGGGCTTTTTTTTGTGTTTTGATGGGTTTTTTTGACATTTATTTGAGTATCATATGCAATTTTGAAAGTTTTGCTGTAAATGACATGTTATCATCTCATTATGCCTGATTTTATTCTAGATAGCCAGTGTTTTGTAACTGTTCTGTCATTCCCACAGGCAAGAGCTATGCCCTACTTCTTACAGTGTTCACCTTCTTAAGAGTTAAAGTATCTTCTACAAACTTAATTCTGTTATTTTTATGATATATTCAGTTCATAGTGACAGTAGTTGCCAGTTTTTTACATCCAGACATCTAGTGGAAGAAAGGATTGTTGATACTTTTGGGAAACAGCCTATATGATCAAATGAATTCCTGGGAGAGTGTCTTTGATGAGTACTTGCATTGCAGACTAGAGCTTCAGTTTTATGTCAGACTCTTTGAGACTTGTCTTGAGACCTGGTTAAATTGGCAAAACCATAGGGAGCATCACTTTGTAAGGTGATGCAGGAAGTATAGCTGCCTCAACTTCCAAATACCTGAGGTTAAATTGTCCCTAGCCTTTAACAACGAGTGTTGTGTACTTATGTTTATCATGAGTAATAATCCAGAACCTAATGAACAAAGAGAAGAACCTGATAATTAAATAGGAAGAAAATACTTTAACGAGGGCAGAACATATGTGAGGATCTTCATCTTCTTGAACATTGCTGATTCAAACACCATAGAGAAAAAAAAATAAAAAAAAAAAAACAACCAACCAACCAACCAAACAAAAAAACAACAAAACCCCCCCCACACAACTCCCAGACCATTATGAGTTCAAGATTTAACTGTATTTTTATTATATTTTTTTTCACTATAAGTGAAATGTGTGGTCAAGAAGTTCCTTTCAAGAAGACTCATTGCTTTAATGAGTAGGACCAAATAACAGAGCTTCAAACTGGAGTGCCCATTGGAGTGTTTGGCCTTTTGTTTTGAATCTTATGAGTCAGCAAGAGAAATGATATAAAATTCTGTATCTTCATGTATAGGCTGTCTGGCAATGCTTCTTCACTGCTTGGCTTCAAATTACTTGTTTTCTGGCAAGAAAAGAAGTTCAGTGAAGACAATGGCAGACAATTATCTCCCAGGGTCTAGCAGAATATTGAACAGTACATTTCTGTTCCAAGGCTTTATGGCTGAAATCATTACTTTTACTGAGGCTTTTTGGGGGGAGTACTGTAGAGAAGTAAGCCAGACACGAGCAGATCTCAAAGATGTGAGGAAGGAGAACTGTTTTTGTGAGGTGTCAACTTTCTGTACTTCTGTATTTTAACTTTTTCCTTTTTTTTTTTTTTTTCTAAAACGCTTAAAAAATGCTGAGTTTGGCAGTTTGCTAATAGACTTTCTCAAGTTCTGTCAGTCTGTCCAGATTGCTAAGATGCAAGACATTTGTTTCCAGTTGTGATTTAAGAGTTGGACTGTCATTCAGTCTGTGCCTTTAAAGTCTTGTGTTGGATAACAGCCAGTGTTGGTTGCTTATAAACAAATGGTTGCAAGATACAGTAAATGGTACTCAGGCTATCTCTAAATATAAATGTATTTTGAAGCAATGGAGTGAGGGACAAGGTTCTTTATGATAATTTTTAGTATTGATATTTTAAGGTACTTCTTCAGGTATTTCATTTTCTATCTGCCAGGCAGGCAGAGTTGCCAGTATGTTTAGATCTCTTACAGCTTTTTTTTTTTTTTTTTCTTCTTCTTTCAGCCTGGTCTCCTCTTCCTTCATTTGGGAATTTATTAATCAGTTCTGTTTGGTAAAACATGTAAAAAGTGCAAGCTTCCTGTACTTATTTATCCCTTTCATAGATCTAAAAAATTTGGATGATGGTGATGTCATGATGCTGATTCTCTTTGTTTGTCTTTTTTTACCCTTTCCTTCCCCGCCTCCTTTTCTTGCAGTCTTTAGTTGTTTTGCAGGGTAGTTCTACAGGGAGAAATGCACCTTTTTGTAGTTTGCACCAAGTCCTTAGATGATTCTCTTCCTCAAAGCAAACCCCAAATAAATTAAAAGCGTCTTCTCAACTTGTGTGTTACAAAGCAGAAATTAAACAGGGACCTTTTGGTTATCATCCCAATAAACTTGCACCTATTTTGAAATATCTAGGCACTCTGTTGCCCCCTCCCCCTGAATAATTTTGAGTGTATTTAATGGATCATTTAAATAGAGAAGTATTGTCTGTAATGAGTTGCTAATTCTGCTTTCTGATGTTTACACATCCAAACATTGCTCTTCTGGCCAGTGAGCTTGGAGCCAGGTGAAGACAAGCTTGAACATTCTAAAGTGAAGAATGCAAAAGGTTTTCACGTTTTTTGGAGTTTCTGCTTCTTGAAACTGTGAAGAAACTTGTTTTCACTCAGTTTTAGTGGATTTAGCTAGCCCTAAATTCTTAATATGCTTTCAGATATGTTTAGAGATACTTTACAGTTGATCAGATTGAGGGTTACTTACTACTAGATCCTATTTAGAATGAAGATGATGACAGATGTTAATTGGTATTGAGCCTTAGCGCTGCGCTGTGTTGTAACACTTTGGAAATAGTGTCTAGAAAAAAAGGAGCAAACCCCTTTGATTTTCAGTGATAATTCTACATAATTTTGTAATTTTTGTGTCCATTTTTAAATTTTTTTTTTTTTCAAGGAGGAGAATGTACTATATTACATTTGTTTCATAAACTGAGAGAAGAACAGCATTTGGAATAATGGCAACAGGAGACCTAAAAGGAAGTTTAAGAAAAATAGAGCATGGACTTCGCTTGTTAAATTATCCAAGAGATGTGGATTATACAGTGTAAGTGGCAGTGTGAATAAATTTATGCTAATATGTGATGAAAGCAAGATGTGTAAACAAGATATGTATAAATATTAGCATTGCACCCAGTCATGAGTAAGCAGAGCATATGTCTGTGGGAAGTTGAGGTTTGATACATGTGAACTGGAAGATTAAAGGATACAGTTTTTCTGTTCTGAATAATCTTTAGAATAATACTGAAGTGTATCGCTGTCTTGCTCGTTCTTCTGCTGTTTTTATCTTTTCTGTGATTAATATCTCACCTTTGTAATTTCTTTGTAAGTGCTAGCAGAACTTTCTTCAGGAAATTTCATCCTGTAAATGTTAAGAAAAAAAAAATAGATAAGTACTGAGATGGAAATGCTGTGGCCTTTAAACCTGTCAATGATAAAATTATATGAAGGTCACAAAGTAGTTGTTTTGAACATCTTATAGATAACAGTAAAGACTGCTGAATGAGATATGCCTGTGAAAAAAAATCTTAAAATGAAGTAGGTGCTTAGATATAATTTGCTGGCTATATTAAAACTTCTTTTGAGTGTTTGAATTCATGTAATGAAAGGCTTTTGTTATCTTCTGCTGTGTAAAATAATTTTGTTTCTCAATAGGTTAGTAAAGGGTGATCCAGCTGCATTTTTACCTATCATCAGCTATTCTTTTACATCTTTTTCAACTTATATAGCAGAACTTTTGGTAAAGTGCGATGTGGAACTCACAGCAAAGAGTGACTTGCGTTTTATTGAAGCTATTTACAAGGTACCTGTCTTCTTACTCTTCACAGAAGAGACACGGTTTTGAGTATGGCCTCATAAAAATTAAACATCTAGTATGATCTTTACTAAGAAATTAACATTTTTGACAATGAAGGTGGTGAATTGTAATTCTGTTAGGATTTAAGATGAGTGGTAAGTCACTGTATGGCAAGTCTTTAGATTTTCATGAAAATAAGGATGGATGTTGTTAGCCAGATCTCAATTTTGAGACAACTGCAGAAACAGTAATATTGTTGTTTTATGTTAGTTGTGAAGAGTACCAAAATATTTGTTACATAGTAAGTTTTATAGAAGTGATCTTAGAAGAAATCATAACCAGTAAGAAATCCCAGCAAACTTCAATAATTGTAATGGAAGCACAATTAAGAAATGTAGCTATTTTAAAACACCATGCCATATGAATATATAGAGTTTGGTGCTTAACAGCTTATAAATTGGAATCAAATTCTTAACTGAATGAAAATAATTTTGAACTATCCTTAAAAATATCCACAAGCACATTCTGTAAAAGGTGGCTTGATGTACGAAGTAGTAGTGTTAACGAATACTACCTTATTCAGACTAGTTTTTCATCTGAGGAGGACAGAGACTCTTTTACAAAGAGGCTCTGTGGAAGCCTTACTTAGCCCTCTGATGCATTTGCTGAGATTAATAGGATTTTTTTATTGTGCATTCACTTGGAAAGTTTTTGTTTAACTTTTTAAATATTAATGTCTACAACAATTTACTTCATGAATCTTAAAATTGATTTAAACTTTACAACAGTGAAGTGAATTAAATGTTTCTGGAAGAGGCATATTGGAAGTCTAGTTAGAGGAAACAGCTGAGAATATATAAATAACCAGATGAGAAAAGGTTTAACTGCTGAAGTGCAGAATGAAAGAAAAGATTGTAGAAAAATAAGAACATGAGCATACCATATCTACAACAAATTGTGTGGTGATTTTGAAAATGAAGTAAACTCTTATTTTGTTGCAGCTTCTTCGAGATCAGTTTCAATATAAACCAGTTTTAACAAAACAGCAGTTTCTTCAGTTTGGCTTTGCGGAAAGAAAAATGCAGATTGTTTGTGACATTATCAACTGTGTGGTGAAAAAACATAAGGAATTAAGTAACTCGAATAAGGTACTGATTAACTGGTAACTTTACTATTAGGTTTCTTTTGTCACACTTAATGCTGCAGGTAGAAGCTGAAGACCAGTTTAGTTGAAGGTGCAGCATTGCTGATAGTCAAAATAGGGAGAGAATTGGTATGAAGCTCCATTGTAAGATGCTTGAGTGCTATCAGGTATACGAAAACATGAAGCTGCCAATGCTTTGTAGTACAAACAAAAAAAATATTAGAAAAAAAAGATAAATCTAGTACTTCGTATCTTTACAGTAAGTGATATATTTTCTTTTACACTTCTTGACATAGCAAATGTTTGTCTAACTTGATAGACTTTGCAAGTAGACTTAAAAACAGAGCAAAACTGTCTGATATGCTGAAGTTCTGGTAACATTTAATTTTAACATGACATTTGTGTTTTTGTGGTATACATCTCAAATCTAGTTATTTTCATTAATCATATTTGTTTTACATTGTTAAGGCATTTTTTATCTGTGTATGCTGTGTATCAATTAGTGCTTCAATAAATGAATTTTCAGTCTTTATATTTTACAGGATTTTGTTTCATTTGAGTTTATAACAGTCTTCAGGACTTCTGTATGCTTCGTTTGTCACTTTTGGGAGCATAATTAATTATTTTTTGTGTTTGTTTGTCTCTCAACTCTAGTGCAAGTTGTGTTTTCTAATTATGACCAGCTTTGATGCAGCCTGGTATAGACATTAGTAGGTGTCTGAATACAGCATTCACTTCCAGTTCTGTTTTCTCTGTAAATTTGGGTCATACTTATTTTTTTTTTTTCCAGACATTGTTATACTGCAGAGGTTTAAATGTTTGTGCCATACAATGGCAGAAAATGGGGTGTGTCATCCTGTCCCTATGTCTTGTACCACACCACCACCTCCTGCCGTATAAAATATTCCTGTGTCAGAAGCATAATATTTTTTCCTCTTCACTTTGAAGGATAAATCCCAAATAAGGAAAAAACTCAGATCCTTTAAATGTGAAGTATGGTCAAATTGTGATAATGTCCTTGCTGCTCCTAGTGCCAGTGCTCTGAATTCCAAACAGGTATGAAAATAGTCTTTATGTTGTATATCTAAAGGTTAATCTCATTTGTAGTAAGTCAGGCTCTTTCTAGAATATGTGCTTTCATTTAGGTTTTAATACTTGATCAGACCAGGCTTTTGTTGTTGTTGTTCTGTGTGTTTGTTGTGGTTTTTTTTTGTTGTTGTTGTTTTTTTGTTTGTTTGTTTTTTCCAAAATGTGGTTGACTGAGATAATAGCTGAAATACAAATGATATTGCTTCTCTCTTTTACTGAGCGGTTGATCTCAAAGTCTAGGTGTTAATGATGTAGTACTGTTGTTCGCTGCTTGAATATTAAATGGAGGGACAGCAGTGAAAATGAAGATGCAGTTGGAAAAAGAATATACATCCTGTTTGGAGACTGATGTGTGTTTGGCCTAACATTACAGTGTTTTCAGTCTAGCTTTCAAAACACTTTTTGCTCTTTTGTCTGAATATGTTCAGCAAAGATTTCTTTATGTAATATTCCTCTTGGCTTTTGTTTTACAAGAGCACTTTATTTTATGTGTTATGCTATTCCTGGCCTGTGGAGGAGACAGCTTTCCTGTTATTTTCTGCTAAAAGGGTGCAAAGTAAAATTATACAAAACTGTGACTGCTCATTAAATGTTGGTGACTTCAATTTAGAAGAAAAATACTGCTTTTAACAGTGAGGAAAACTTCATAAAGAAAGTACTTGGAATGACTTATTTGGCACTTCTGATTGAATGGTAGAACTGAATGGGGATATATGTGAGTGTATTAAGAATTCCCTAGAAGAGGAGGGTTTCAGCTTCACTAACACATCTAGGAATATGTAAATGTTAAGATGCTGCACAAAACTGATAATTGTGGGTTCATAATCGTTACGTAATTTATTTTCTTTTGTGGCAGGTAGTGATAATAGGACTTGATCCACCTGTAAAGGAAGGCAGAATTTGTCTCTTATTTTGTTCTCTTCAAGGGAAGCATTCAAAGGAAATGAAATGTGTAGCTAGTAGGGCTATTTTGCTGTCACTTGTCAAGGAAAATAGAGAGTTCTAATCTTCCTAGTTAAACTTTTTTTTTTTCCTGAATGCTTGAGTGATGGTTTTGATGTTGGAACTGTCTATACATAAGTTAATACATACAGTGAGATTCATACCTCCCAATCCACACTTAGAAAACTAATAACCCTTACAATAAGAGAGGACATTACTGTTAATGGAAGGGAACTAAGGTACACAGTACATACAATAAAGTCTGTGCATATTTGTTTCACAGTTCTTTTATGTCTATGTGATTTTTTTTTTTTTTTTTTTTTTTTTTAAATTAAACTGCCTGCTGTTGCTTTCTGGTTTTCAACCAGTTAGGATAAGATTGTCAGATTTAAATAAATCAGTAAATAATAGAATGATAGGTCTTTTGTGTCAGTTACTTGAATGATGAACTGAAATGTTCTTGTAATGAATAACACCAGTGTTTTTTTCTTTTTTTTCCTTGTTTGTTAACATACTCAAAAGAAGCCTCAAGTAGAACGGCACTCAGGAAGTGAAGTTAGTGGTGACCTTTATCGACTACCCCTTCCAGCACAGGGAGGTAATGAAGAAGAAATGTACCTAGATCGTGATGTTGTAGAAGTTAAATGTGAACAAGTAAGAACTTTAAGGTGTTCTCTGCACATATTCTTTACTTTTTCTTACAGGGCTTTTCTAAAGGGATAAAGGTTTTAACAAGATAGCTGGATGTTCCTTAACTATACCTAATAGATATATAATAAATATATTGAAAAAGTTGGAAAAAAGTTTAATTGTACTGTGCTTTCAAGAGCCAGTTCTGCCAACAGTTTCTTTTAAAAGCTGAGTTCTATGAATAGGCATATTATGGCAGTTCTTAAAGAAAAACAATTTTCTAACGTAGCAGAATGTGGTTGCTGAATTTGAGGACGATTCCACTGAATTTCATTGACCAAATGATGAATTGTATCTGTATTGAAATTAACAGACATATGTTCCTATCTGTATTTTCAGGTCATAGAAGATAATTCTCAGATTGAATTCCTAAAGAGTCAGCTTGCTGATTGCCAGGAAAAACTTCACAAGCTAGATTGGATGGAGGATAAACTACATGTTTTAGAAGAAAAACTGAAAGGAAAGGTGATCATAGATGAGAAGGACTGGAATAACTTGTTGAGTCGAGTTTTGCTTCTTGAAACAGAACTGTTGTTGCAATCCAAAAAGGTATGTTAATGGCTGTTACTCTTCAATAGCAAAAATTACCTGGACACAATGTTTTCATCCTGTTTCTGCTCTTCCTGCCTCCTGATGTATGCTTTTTCACTATTTTGAAAGGTATGATCTGAATGGAATTGCTCTTTACCGAGTTAGTGGTATTTTTTTCTTAACTGTTAAATTTTGTTGTTTTCTCATGCTCTGTGAAGCAAAGCTCTCCATTGGAAATTATTTCCTTGCAGGAACAGCAGCTATAGCTAAGCCTATTTGCATTAGTAATGACTGTGTATGTTTTTATTTCTTAGTGAACTCATAGAAGGAAGCTTTTGAAGAGCTAATTATGCTGTCTTTGAAAGTCTAATGTTTCTGTAGTTGAGAGTTTCATCATGCTAGTGACACATTTCAGGGTTTCCTTTTTCTGGTCTGCATTATTCTGAATTTCTTATACTGGCCTGCAAATGTTGTTGCTATCAATACTATTGAATATCTATTTTTTTGATTCTCCAAACTAATCAGGTACAATTATTCCCTTTAGAAGATTAAGTCTTCTTTATATATAACTAACTTTGACAAAAATAGATAGTATGCTCAATAGAAAATACGAGGTTAATGGGGAAGTTAATTCTTTCTCTAGTCCTATTCTTAGTTTGTGGTTCTTTGAAATTTCTAGACTAATCGATGGCCTCTTTCCTTTTTGCATTCCCCTTCCCCCCTTCCTATTTCTTGTCCATTATGTTCATGGCATTTTTAAATGTGCCAAAGTGCTACAGTTGTGATGTGGCTACATTTGGCATATTTGTCAGAGCAAATCAAGTATTTAGTTGCATTAAGATTCTGTTACTTTTCATGCTGGTGAAAGGTCCTTGTATGTACATTATAGGATTTCATATATGTACACATGTGAGTATTTTGAGATGCAGTGAACTAGAGCATCATTTTTGTGATCACATGCTTAATTTCAAAGTGTATTTGCATATGTATCTCATATATATCCTTCAGATACTGTCAGATGCTTTCTAGAAGTTGAAAACTGTTGTGGAAAATAGTTGATCAGCGTTGCATTTTTCTCTGTAGTTGTAAAAATTTTGAATTTTACTTGTAATCAAGAGCTCTGTGTGTGTTGCTGGCCCTGCAAATTTGAAACTGTTGCTAATACTTGTATGCAAGGCATGTTTATTTCTGTGTGCCTTGGAAGTGTGGTAGTTATGCAAAGTGTTGAAATGTAGAAGTGTTCAGACTGATCACTATGTCATTTCTAAAGGCTGTAGCTCAAATAATAAGGATTGACATTCTTAATAGCTTTTTTTTTAAAAAGAAAACCACAGGTTTAGGTCAGTAAGTAATTTATTGTTTGAAATTAGTTTGTTATGGATATTGTAATTTAACTATCAGTGGACATGTGTCTAAATACCACCATCAATGATAATGTTTTCTTCTGGTAGGAGTCTGAAGAGGCCTTTAGCTGAACAGCTCAATGTAGATGTTTTGTAGATGTAGCGCAGATGTTTTGATCCTGTTTCAAGTGTGTTCTCTTAAAGAGATATGCGTTGCATTTATGATGGTAGCAGCATGGGAAAGCTTGTGTTTCAGGCTGGGCTTGTTCTTTTATTTCTGTAAATTTGGTTTATTGTTACTTCAGTAACAGGTTTATTGCAGTTGTTCAAACGTTTGGAATATTATTTGGAAAATATTTAGCACTAACTTAACATTAGTATCATCTGATAATTTCCAGTAGGATAATTATATTTCTGTACTGCATGTTACTGAAGTGTCATTTTCAGAAACAAGTTTGAATGTAGTTTGTATGTGACATTGTCTTTTTTCAAAGCAAAATAAGCTGATTTTTATATTAAAAAAAAAAAAGTCTTCAAAAGCCTAACTTTGCAATAGGCATTTGAAAACTGCCAAGAAATAATCCTCTGGGCCAGAGAATTGCTTCTTCTTTGTTTCATGAAATTCCATTCAAGTTGTGCTTCACAGATATAGAATCAATTCAGAATTACTGCTAACTCCTGCATTTTTCAGGGAACTTTTGGCATCTTGCCATCATAGCAAGAACACTCTAAGATCTGTCTTGCACTGCCGACAAAGCAGCAGCAGCTGTGCATTTAGCTCTTGGAAAGTCCAAAATCTGCCCAATCCATTTCAATGAAAGGAATTGAGCAGAAATAGTCAGTGCGGACTTTTTTTTTTTTTTGAGATATCCATTAGTCTTTTTTTTAAGCTGCTTCCCACACAATACCTACTATTTCTCCCTCATTCACTTATTTGGGTATAATATTCCCCTGTTAACTGATATAGTTATTTCAGTATATATAAACAGATATACTTTATCAAAGGCTGAGATTTCAAATCATAATGATAATTTGTTGGTGAAAAAAATCTAGATGTTGTTTAAGTCTTGCATTTTTCTATTTTAAAATTAGAAAATTTCACTCAAAGCCATTTATTGTTTGTACAACATTAATTTTGTTTAATTTTATCTAATTTTAAAAGCTAGATTGAATTAAACTGAGAACCTTTCTTAAAAGAGCCCTCTTCTCATTTAGGAGTCTAGGAAACTAGCTTAAAAAAGACTTTTGAGTTCTGAGCAGTTAAATGGAATGAATTTCAGTTCCTCTACAGGCTTAATTTTTTAGGACTGAGTAGTTGCATTTCTGAATATTGAACAGACATAGAGGATACATTTAGTTTATTCAGGTAGTAGCAGACAATGTCAAGATGTAATCGTTAGCACAGGCCAAGAACAGTCTGATTGTTCATGCTACTCATACTTAAGTTATATGCACTATATTTGGACCTGGTTTTGATCTGTTTATGAACAATGGTATTGATATTAAAAAAGCCCCCATGAAAATAGACTGTTTTTTTAATACAATGTGTGTATGCAAATAATGGATTGTTTTCATCCTGTACAGACGTTTGCGTGATGCCAACATACCTGGATGGTGTAGAAAAAGCATATGTAATTAGTACTTAAATATATTTTGTTCAGTCAAAAGATAAGATTTAAACAGGGTATATGGCTAAAATGCAGTAAACTTTTATTTCAGAGAGACTTACATATAGAGTTCAGCAATACAAGTCAAGAATGTACTTCTGGTAGGATTCCAGTTGCTCCTGGTAAGTATTAATGGATTTCTTTTTATTTAACACCATATGCTAAACACTCCTTGCTGATTTTCACTAAAATAGTGTGTTTTAAGTAGACAATAGCAATTTAATGACATCTGAGTTTAAATGCATGCTGCAAATTAGAAATTCACCTGCTAGTCATTTCAGGTTTGTAATTTATTCTTTAGAAGCTTAATTTACTGTAATAATTTTTAAAGCATTAATGAAAATCGATAGCATAGTACTTAATAGTTACAAATAAGTCTACTAAAAATCTCAAAGATGCAAGTTTAATGAAGGTGCTATAGCTAAAGCTGTGAAAAAACATAACTTTATCTGCACTTTAAAGCAGTTATCATAATGTTTTGAAAATAAGCTATTCATAAGCACGGAAGGAATTATATTTGCTGCCACGGGTTTGTTATAATCAAAATAGTGTCACATTTATGATGTTTTTTACTTTTATAATGGCACTCAGGACAAATCGGGACTTTTTCATTCATAATCCGTGGTGTTATTCAAATTGCTGCTGACCATTCTCTCTACTTTCATCCTTTCTGAAGCATCTAACAGGTATTCAACTAGGATTTTTTCTAAACCTTATTTCAAGAACAGGAAAAAATCTTTTTCTTCCATATCTAGCTAAATTTTTATAATGTATGAGAAGTAAATGAAGCAGCCTAAGTGGGAAAGAAATAAAAAATATTTCTCAGGCCATAAGTAACTGTCCTCTCTTCCTCAATGGTAGCTCTTTAGACCTTACTTTGCAACGTTCTCTTTATTAATTTGGCCTGATTCCCCTATGGCAGCTGGTTTTCCTACCACCAGTAGTATGGAGAATATTCTATTTCCCATTCTCACTTTTCAGGTATTTTTGTCCAGTGTTGAGCTGTTTGCATTGAAATTCAAGGGGAATCTCAATAATCCACTTTCTGTGGAAATTAAAAAGGCAGTTTCTTAGTTATGTCAAAGTTTGTTTAAATTTTGATGTCTCAGAAATGGGACCTTCTTTTTACAGACCTTAGGAAGCTTGTAATATGTTTATGTCAGCAAGGAGGCTCATGGTCTTTAAAAGAGAATATTTATATTTTCAGACTTCTAGAATTCTTCTGAATTTGTTAGATCTGTTTTTCTAAAATATGATTCAGGAAATTTTAGGCATACAAGTAATGTGGCCAGTCTTAACTCTTCTGAGATGCACAGTACTCAGAATGCTTTCATGTTCTTTTTGCTTTTAGTGCTCTTCAGGAATCACAGCTGTACAGAAGAAACAATTTTTAATTGTAATTGATTTAAAATAATTTAAAATAATTTCAAAAACAGAATAGCATAGCTAAGCACATTCCAAAGGTATGATCTATAGATGGTGGCCTTACTGAAAATAAGGGTATGGGAACACTTCTTTTTTTCTAAATACTATATTATCTTCCCTGACAATAGTATTTTAAAGTTGCAAGGAGTATCACAGACTTCCCAATATAAAAGAAAAGTCTGTTTCTGATGAATGGGTGCTAAACCTATCCCCATGGGAGGAGAGCTAAGGAAAGAGCAGGAGCTTGATATAAATTTTAAGCTAAGTAAGAAGGTGATGATTTTGTTTCTATTTCTGCTGCTTATAAGACAGTTTACTTAGCACAAATTAAAGACATGTTTGAACAGGCGGTTTACAATAAAAATAATCTAATTATTTGAAATTACTATTAAGTGTTTGACCCAGTGATTAGACTTTCTTAAGTCTTGTTTTTACTGTAATCAGGATAAAGGTAGCATTCATAGTAATCTTTTTGGAATTTGTCTTGTGTGTTATACAGAGTATACTGCACTTACCTTGTTTTAAGAAAATGAGAAACCTATTTTGGACCCTCACCAGTAGCCTTTTTTTTTTTTTTTTTTTCCCCTCTCTAAACAATGCATTCTCTTCTGTTATTACATACTGTAAGTCAAGCTATTTTGATAGTTGACCTTGTAATAAGAAAGCAAAAAGTCAAAGGTGACACAAAACCGAGTATTTCTCCATAGATACAGAGAGGAGGGAGGAGATGCCAGAGAGTCTTCATCAGTTGTCCGAATACAGTTCACTTTTATCCACAGACCCATCTCCCAGAGCCATGACCATTAATTCTCATGATCTAACAGACATTTCAAAGGTAAGTGAAACTGGCAAATGCTTAGTTGATTTCCTTTCTGAGGTCAGGAGAACAAGTAAGCATTAGTTCTAGGTGTATATACTACTAGTGAAAAACAAGGAAACTAAGCAAAGCTACATCTAGGTCTGTCTCATAAAAATCCTTTCAATATGTAAACTGTGCTTAAAGTCATATTTTCTCTATGAATTTTTCAGGTTGAAAGTCTATCTGAAGAATGTTAGCTTTGAAGATTTCACTAACTTTGTTGCTTTTAAATTGTAGGAGACAACAAGTCAAAGAATGGAAAGGATATGTAAAATGTAAGTAATATGAAGGGGCAGCAGGAATTCATTTCCCAGGAGGGAGTTGTGCTGGACTAAGGCATATAGAGAACATACATATGTGTTCCAAACCTCAAAGGTCTCTACATCAGGTGTGGCATTTCCTTATGACTCCATTGGATAATAAATCCACTTACAGTTCTGTATTTGTGGGATGAGTCACTGTTTTGCTTTCTAAAAAGGAATAGAAAGCATTCTTAATAGTATTAACAAGAGATTAAAGAGTGTTTAGAATCTGGTTGTTAAGGAATAGGAGTATTTATCTTCTGATAGGAATTCCCTGGCACTTACACATTTTCTTCCTGAAAACTAACTACAGTATCTTAACTCTTGTTTTTTATTTAAGGAAAAGGAAAACTGATTTCAGCCTAGAGCATTGTGATAACTGTATTAAGTTATATTTGATACTAGAACTGAGATCTGTAATGAAAATTTTTTTGTAAGAAATATTTTTATTACACTTGAAGAGAAATGCATTTTTGTATAATGTTTCTTTAGGAAGAAATTTCTATTCTATAAGTGCCTAGTCTGAAAAAACTGTAGCCTTTTTTGTGATTTTATTTCATTGTGTGGGTTACTTCTTTCTTTATGTATACTTAAGGTTTATTGATGTGTGGTAGGCATTTAAACTACAAACCAATTGGAGAGGAAAAGGAGGAATGAGGGAAAACTTAAGGTTTCATGCTGCTTGTTAGTATTTTGGAATCATTAGAAAGTTAAAGGCAAGTCAGTTATTTCTTACTCTGTGTATGTAAACAAAATTTATTTTCAGAATTGAAGAAACCTCAGAATTGTTGAAAACATCAAGCAACACCTCTGAGAAGACCTGAGAAAGCACAGGTCTTCGGACCTGGTCTCTGTAGACTTACAGATATCAGAACTAATATGTTTGTTTGTACAGCATTGAATTTTTAATATATCAAGTTTGTAATGATCACCAGTGCTTTTATTCATTTTAATAAATATTTTCCAGTGCATCTGTGTATTGATTTTCCTCCCCCACCCCCGATTTTTCATTTTAAAAACTGTTCACTTTGTAAAGTGAAGTCATTAGTGAAGTCATTACAGCAGTGTATTTTTGAGTTGACATTTGTTAGCAGTGTGCTAAATAATATGGTTTTTAAAGTACAGGCTTGAGGACCGTCATTTACATCCTGTTGGAAACATTCCAGCTTCGACTTGCATATTACACCCAAGAGGCTTTCTTACATACCATCTTACCACCTGTACTGTTGAATAAGTCTTAATGAAAACTTAAATACACAATTTCAAATATGTACCTTTCTTTTTTTTTTTAATATAAATTTTCATGCCGAGCTGGAGATCACCAACACATTATGGCTTCCATTAACACTGACAAAGTGAGGGTCAGTTTGATTCTAAATACTAAAATGTGCAAGTGAGTCCACAGACTTTGACTGCAAGAGATGTGTTGAGCATTTTACTGCTCTTTCCCCAACACATTTCAAGTCCAGCAGCACAGATGGAGACTATCCAGTATACAAAGATACACAACAATTCAATGATTTGAAGCTGTATTAAAATTTCTTTAGAGGCGTAAGTCAATATAAGACTTCCATAACCATGATATAATCAAAGATGTGTGAGGTTTTCTAAGATTTATTTATTTATTTATTTATTTATTGATCTGTGTAAATTGGTAGCCTATCATATCAAGTTTTTTTTGTGCTATAATACCTCAGTTAAAAAGATTTTTGGAGCTTCATATCACAAAACTAGTGGATTTTTTTTGCAGTTTGCAAATTAAGGTGAAAGCAGCTGTTTGACATTATGCTGTAAAAAGTGATTTATATGTTTTAACAATAATTACGATTTTTTTTTTCTATGACCATATGGAACACAAATTGACTTTATTTTACATACAAACAGAAGAACATCCATTATGTTACATAAACTTCAGTTGAGGGATTTTAGACTTTTGCAATAGAAGTTACTTTTCCAGTTGCTTCAAAAAAAAAAAATAAAAGGACAAGTTAGATGACATGAATGTCTTTTGCTCCTTAATTGAAAATATACCTTGCAAATCATGGTTCATTATCCTAGCAATGAAATCAAAGGAGGTTTTCTAAATGTTAGGCCAACAGAGAATGGGTGATTTTTTTTTTTTGTTCCAAAATAGGGCTACAGCACCATCTTGTGGAAATCTTTATGCAACGTAATTACAAAAAAAGGCAAAAAGTATATTCCTATACAGTTAAAGTTATTGCTTTAAACCACTATTGAGCAAATATTTTGAAATATTACCTCTCTTTGATTTTTTCTTCTTTGCCTTGGAATTGAAGAGGCTTTTATGTTAAGTAAGATAATTATTCTATATAATATTTGATAATGTTTGTGGCAGGAACCGAAATGATGAATCTTGTTTGTAGATGTTATGGCAAAGATGAGAAGTGTTAGTCAATATAAGTGATTCAAGTTACAGGGATTTATCATTGAATGCATCTGATTGATGGTGCAAGTGTTAGAAAAAGGCTTTTCTGTGAGTGTATGGTTTAATATCAACTCTATTTAGTACCACAAAATTGAAAATCCAGGAACAACTCTGTTAATTCTTCCAGAAGCTTAAATGCAATACTTCTCTCTCTACAGTGGGATTCAGCCTTTTTAATTAAAGGCTTCACTTCTGTTTTTAGGACCAAGCAGGGACTGACTTGGTCAAACTGAAGCCAAGGGTGTTTTACTGTTAGGGCCGTGAAGCTGGTTTTCTAAAGGTCTGTCTCTTGCATTTGCTATCTTTTTTTTTAAATGCAGTTTGGTTTTGAAAGATAGTACCATCTTTTTGAAATACTCGTAGTACATTCGAGCCCTTTTTACATGTTTGAGTTGTGTTTTTTTTTTTGGGGGGGGGGTTGTTGTTTTTTTTTTTTTTTTTTTTCCAGTTCTATCAGTGGAAACAGTGCTAGTAATGGTACAATGTCACAGTAGAACTTCACCAAAGCAGGGCAATGCTGGGAAATGCATGTCCTGACTGAAAATAGCAGCGGTTTTTGAATAATTACTGATGCAATACTACTTCAAGCATTGTCACAACAAAGAGATGACATTCTGCATGTGCAAGTTGCATGGGTGCATCTTGCTGAATGACAGGAAATGTTAGATACGTTCTGAAACACAAATAAATCCAGAGAACATTCCTCACTATAGTTTCTATCATGCTTAGCTCTCTCCAATAACTTTGAAAAAAATTCCTGTTGTTCAAGATATATGTTCTATGTTTATAAATCATTAATTAAAATACTACCATTTCTTAAATTTACTGAATTATTACTTTAAAAATACAGATTATTAATTTTATGGTTAAGAATTGTTTTGATAACTCTACTTCCTTCAACATCAATAGAATAATTCCACCTTTTATAACTGAAAGTATTTATATATTACATGGGATAATGAAACAACTACATTAAAGTAGAATGCTGAAACTGAAGCTTCTACAAAAATATACTTGTTAATTTTTTTAGCAGGATTCTAAGTCTATTAAAACTTCTAGGATTCCCATTAAGATTTTTTTGTTTTACTCTCCCATATCTAACATTAACATGTACTTTAACTCATTTACTGAAATTAAAACATGATGTAAAAACCATAAGAATCCTCTCAGCCCAAATCTGTAATACTAAAAAGCAGTCTGATAACCTCTTCCGGTTATATTTTTGTTTTGTGTATATCCTGCTACCTGTGTAATTCTTGTGCTCTGAGATATAAATGCTAAAAATACCGCTGCAGTTATGACACTAGAATATATTATTTATGATGTTCCTTTTGATGTTTGAGATCTGATACTTGAATTGTATTATAAATCACTCAAATTTGGTTGTACCTAAGTATAAGACAGGCTCAGTTCAGTTATGTCCTGGTGTATATTCCTGACTTGGAATTGTTTTGCATCATCAGAAGTGTATTCAAAGCTCAAAGCCTTAATTACTAAGTGTGTTATATTTCCTTATAAGTATATCCAATTTTCTTATGCTTATTCTTGGAGTTTTTATGTGTTTATATTCTGGTTTAATCTCATGTCCCATGTCAGGCTCAATTCAGTTTCTAGTCCGACAGCAAACATGGTGCAGAAGAAACCTGGCTGGAAATATTTTTTGAAGTTATGCTTTCTTTTAAATTTGTCTGATAAGAATATTTGTTGTCTTGAAATCAGTTTCATTAAGGAGGGGAAATATCATGGAATTTGCAGAACTGAAATCTAGACTGTGGGGAGGGAAGTTACTAATTTCTCCTTCCCTGTCAGTCTAGCAATGGTGAGTAGAGCCACCTTGTTTGAATTCTAATATAAAAATAGTTTTGTTGCTCTTTTCTTCTGGTATGTTTATTACAGAGTTTTGAAGAAATATTCCAGTGTGAAAAGTACTGCATATATTTTCTATCTTTTCACTTTTAATTTTTTTTTTTTTTTTTTCTTTTTAGCTTAAGCTGTGGGTTGTGACTTTAATTTAGCTATACTCAATGAGAGTGGCAGTTTTCTTCTCTCTCTGTGGGAAGACCAAATATGTGATAGTTCTTTCAAATGAGCT